TAAGCAAAAGTCGGTATATCCTAAATCTGATTTTGCAAAAACCGTTAAATCCATTTCAATTGAGCAGAACAATATAATTGAACAAAAGGCAATAAATCCAATTTAAAAACTGGAATAAAATTTACATTTAATAAAACTGAACAGTAAGCAATATAAATTTTAAAACCATGATTGAACTTATAAAACCAATGCATAAAGTTTAAGATTACAGTGAATAATGTTCTAGATACAACTTTTTTCTAGTTATCTCAAAACCACATATTATGGGTTTATCAGCTTTTGCATAGCTGCTCCTCAATTTTTTCAGGTACATTAAGAGCGACTAAAGACAAATCACAAATAATAAAATGTCTACAATTTTAATTATTTTATCAATGATAGCTTTGGTCAAAATAGAAAATTCTTATACCAGAAATAAGTAGCGCATATTTTATTGTATTAATTTATGCTACTAAATCCAATTTTGTATCTTGTGCCACTTTTGAGAAAGACGATGTGGGCTATTAATAGTTAATATTTTTCTAACAGGCCATCCAATTACTCCAAAATTAAGAATGATAGCGAAAAAATTCTTGCTCCTTCGGATACTTTGAAAGGGCATATTTCCCTTAAAAAATGTAAATTTTAGTTTTGAAAGTACCAATGTTGTCATAGTCAACGGAGGAATGTTTAGACTTTTATTTAAAAACTAAATTTTTAATTAAAAATAAGAAAACACGTTTGTCTAAAAATTTCACGCAATGGTTTATTTTAACAGTTTATTAAATGACTAATTGAAGGGTGTAATTTTATAAAGATAAAAACAGATGTAAAATATTTTTCAAAATTATATAAATTCTGTGTAAATGCAATTGACTACAGGGTCTCCATTTCAACCAGAAGTACAATGACCTTGAAAATATTTAGTTTAATAGAATCCAAAACCTATAGACCAAAATAAAAAAAAATATTAAACAGTATCGATCGATGTGGTTTCCAGAATATTTGATTTGATTGTGTATGCAAAAAATCCAGCAAATCTTGCCCTCCGCTGACTCCAATTACTTGGGAGCTTCTCTACAATATGACCCATATGTCTAAGAAATCACTGTATGTCTTGGGATTCATCGAGGTGGTCTTGTGCCCTTCTAATTCTGTCATCCATTCTTCTTTATACAACTCGTCTGCGTTTTGGTAATATAATTCCATTTTACAGCCTTATAAAGTCGAGCTTTTGGTTTATCGACAAAGAACCAAATGTTGGAATATGATAGTCCCACCATCCTACATAAATCCCTGTGGAACGACTCCACAGCATTATTGGTCCTTTGCGGTTGTATGTAAATATGTACTGTTTTGGGGCAACCAGAAGTATAAAAAAATATTTCCATTCCTTGAACTCAAGGCCTCTTTCAACTATATTATGAGGCAGCATGAAGACTCATGTTTTTTTTGGACCACTCTTCTAGCTGCCTCATTTCCTTGAGCCTTGAATAAAAGTTATTCTAATATAGTTGATTAAAAGCAAATGCCTCATTCAGTTGATTAAAAAGTAATATAATTTGAAAATTGTATTAAATAACCTAGTTATAAAAAATGTCTTACTTGCAGACCTAATTTCCTGGATTTTTTAAAAATGGCTTGGCTGAAATGAAACCAGCTACCCTTAATTTCCGTGCCAAACCAGCGGCATGTCGTAGTGCTGCCTCATAGTCGGCCGTTAATGAGAGGTTGGAAATTATTAAAAAGATTTTCTTTAATAAAATTTAAAATAGAGATATATGCCGCCTCAGTTTTTCTTTCCATTAGGCCATACAACAACGGGAAAACCTAAAATTGTAAATAATTTCTATAAAACTTTGGAGCTCGGTTTCGAGCAATACAAATTAACAGATTTATTAAATTTCCTACTAATGATAATTCTGGATACGTAACAGTCTTCTCGTAGTCGTAATTTATTCTAAAAGTAGTTCTAGTGAATTGGAAAAATGGATTAAATTGTTTGGTTAATACCTATATACACTGCTTTGGAGAATATTTCGTGTGATTCATCCTATTTAAACAATAAAAAGGTGTTCGTCAAAGTCACTTACATACTTGTAGTGTACCGTACTATAATAGTGCAAAAAAATCTTTATAAATGAACTTGATATCTAGAAAACTGCTATGTTCAAGACTAATGTTAAATAATTTCTTTGTTTATATCGAACCTATACATAATGCGTTAAAACAATAACACAGGCCACTGGCACTCTATGTTTATGTGCTTCTCGTTAGGTAAATCCAAATTACACAGATAGATTTCGCTACTTTCCAGGAATTAATTATTGAACTAGAAGTATCTTCCTAGGAACTGACGTCTCAAAGAGAAAGTGAATTCGATAACTGTAATTACTTACATCCTAGCCGTAATGTTAATACCTGTAACTCTCGATAGTTTAAAAAGTGCCGGTCCAGCAAAATAAAAGCGTTACTCAGAAATAATAGAAAAACAGTAGAGAACAGGAGGGGGTTGCGTTTTCAGCAGCGTATCTTGCATGTGATATAAGTAATATTGTTTTTATACTTAAATATTATAGCGAAGTATTATTCAAATATTGCTCAGTATTACTCAAATATTACTCAAATTTATACACTAAACTACCCCTTGGTAGTTAGAACTTTATCCACGCTTTTTGTTTATGTATTTACAAGGATTAGGTGTATGTCAGTTTTAATAATATTACATCAATTGATTATTCAAAAGATAGATAGATAGATAGATCTGAGTATATATAAATAGGTGGAACACAATATTAAAAAAAATGCATAATATAGATGCTTTAGTAATAAATAAATTTATTTTATAGACATAAGCACAATTTCCCGTTAACAAATTTGCGACTCAAAATCTTACGGCATAAATAAGTTTTACTAGATAACTTAAAATTAGTATATTTCAAAATGTTATTAAAATCATCTAAAATTGTATTAGGTACATACCTAAATTTTGAAACGACATCTACATAGTTTGACCTTATTATCGTGTTATAAATTATGATATTCACTTTTGCTATTTTTAAATTAACTGCAAAAGCAGCATTTGTTTATAAAATTAAAATTGAATGAAAATACCAGAATCACATTAGGTTTTTTGTAACTTACTTTTTAATTTTTTTTTAAGTATAGCAAAACTTTATGTTAAGTATCTTCCCAATAATTTAATGCATCTTGATTGAAATAAGATAAATTGATTTCGAATTAGGTGGTACTGTGGAAAGTGACATTTTAATTTATGTCCTAGGCACTGTGCATAAGACAGCACTGGAAAATAGGTATACCTATATGTATTCTTAGCTATTAAAAGAGTTACCTAATAAAAGGAAATATTTATAAAAATAGAGGCTTTAAATATACTTAGGTACTAATTCTCAAAAATCCCAAAGAAATAATTTAGCGTGTAACAAACAACTTAAATGCTGTTAGAATGTTACTCCTACACAAATACATATTTTCGTCGTTTGTGTGGCATCACACAAACCAAAGATTAAAATTGATATCTTTCTTTTATTTTTGTGTAGATCTCTTGCCTTAGCAAATTGCTTCGTAGATAACAAATAATCCAACTCGATCAATTATTTATATATATTGTTTATTCAGCTTTTCTTAGATGTTAGGCTTCTGTGAGCTCTCGTGTGAGCTACTCGCATAATACATACACCTACTCAAAAATTTTAATTTATAATATATAGTAAATTAGGTGCCTATGTGAGTATGTGTTGATTTAAATAGATTGGAAAAATAGCTACATATCTAATTCCCAATGTATTCCTTAAGTGTGCATATTATTTTTTATTGCATGAAAATCCACTTAAATCCAATCCAAATACCTAAGCGATTCTGTATTTGCTAAACATTCCTATTTGAAAGTAATCATTATTAAGCAGTGGCAATATCTTTAAAAAATATACTCAAACTAGCACTGATTTAGAAATAGCAAACAGTCTCATCATAAACGAGTCATAGCAATATAATGTAATAGTAATCCATAGGCAATGGTACGTACTATGCCAATGATAAGATCCATTCTTACGCAATCCATATTCATAAATTCCTCCTAAAACGTGTGCGTATAAACTTAATGACAACTGAACAGTAATATCCATATCCTCTCAATAATAATCGGTCAGACGAAAAAATACAAGTAATAAAACACTGTTTACAGTTTAACGTTCAGTCTCCTAGTGAAACCATTTTTGGTGTCGAGAAATTCGACTCCTGGCCTTCTCTCTCTCTCTCTCTCACTCCCACCCGCACAGATGCCTTTGTAACGGGACGCCATGCGCAGCTGTCTTTGAATTCGCATGTAGAGCATATTCGAATACTTTTGAAAATGCAAACAAAATTCATTTTCATTATTCATCGCGGCCCGACGTGCCCACGATTCACCGGACACCTAAATATTAAACGAGCTACAGAAGCAAAATTAATAATTATTTATAGAAAACCTTGCACATAATTATTTAAAATAACGCAGGACGATGGGGATTTAAATATAAAATTTATTTGGCATACTAATAAGTTCAGTCCAGGGGTAAGTGTATTAATATTGCTAGGTTTTCTGTAATTATTGGTGTAAAGATCGCCTGGCACTCTATTTTCCAATGCAAAATTCCGTTACATCACGAAATCGGGTGAGGATTCAAGGCAGCCACTGCCAAAAATAGTTTCTCGGGATAAAGTTACATTCTAGGCACAACGCGCGGTTCCTTCACTGTTTCACAGTTCTGAAAATTAAACCGTGGGAGAACTAGAAATCTGTCTTTGCTTAGTACAGTACTGCTTTTGTTTTTGGTTCGTATTCCCTTCTTTGTCGTTGAGGTTATGTCCTATTAAGTATTGTTTACAATTTAGCTGATTGGATGGTTGAAAGAGTGGACCAGAACTTGAAATGCAAGGTGCACTTTATTCAGCTTACAGTAGATATGTAAAATACTGCAATTGTCCAATGACTGTGTGTATGTTACAGTGCAAATTCCTACCTTTTTTTGTTGCTTCTCCCAGGCAGGATCCAGGAGTCCTTCTCTCTCCCATTCCTCTTCTTGTTCCATATAGCCGTCGTAGCCCTGATCCACGTTGTTGTAACCGTCGTGGCTTATCATTGTTGTTAGGAAATGCACAGATTGCTTGCTACGCTGATAATTCGTTTATTGAGTTCGTTCGACAGATGTAACCCGTCGTGCACAAGCACACGACCTTACGCGCACTTAACCCCACTAGCCCGAGCCCGACTGTAGTCTGGCAGTTAGCTGTCTCTGCCCGCTAGCATTAACGCTCACGATTGGTGAGGGTAGTTGGAGATTCCGTATGTTGGTAGCGGCAAGCACTGGTCGGTTCGTGACGTGTACCCGGTGGCTCAAACAATTAAATGATTTATATACGTGACGCTGGCGCATGCACGAACATTTAGCGACCGAATTCGGCAAATAGTTTTGGTAATACTTGGTATTTTGTCAAAAATAAACGATAATCACGTTCTCTATATTAGTTTTTCTTATATTTTTATTTCAAAAATTATACCCGTAATATGTAGGTGTGTGTTTAAATTAGAAAACAAATTCAGATTTAGCAATACAAAGAAATACGAGGAACTAGATTTTCGGAGAACGCATTTTATAAGCAAGGTGCTTTTTACGAATGAATATTGTTTTACCATAGACGGCATACTAAATTTTCACAATATTGGTGTGATGCACGCTATACGGCATGGAATACTGTGGTCAAAATACGAAGCTTTCAAAAAGTTTCTCTTTTGGGAGAACGATTATTTGGTGTATTCTGTAAAAACGCGAAAACTTAGCTATGAACATTCGATAGGTAATTAAAAATAACATTTTCTGGTAAGTTAAAAAATATGGCGTTCTATTTAAAACAATCATCAACTTATAACCACTTAAAGTTCTTATTTGATTAATTTTAATTTTTGGACACCGGGTGGTGGTAAGTTTATTATGATTGGTACCTGTGATTGGTACCTTATTAAAACAGACATTTATTTTGATCGGAAAATCCAAAGATACAATAATATACAGGGTGTCTCATAATTAGCTGCCAACCCTGAACTGGCCGATTCTATGATCAAAACTAAGTAATAAAGTTCATATGAACATGGGTCCGGAAATGCTTCCTAAAGGCACAGGGACCCATTAAAGAGGGAGGAATGGAAATCATTTTTTTGCAATATCTCTCAATCGCGTTGTGATAAATGAATGAAATTTGGTATACACAGCTAAATTTTGATGAGCAATTTGATGGACTAATCCATTTATTTCCACAAGGTCCATTGGGGTGGGTACGGGGGGGCCCTTGGTACTTTGCGTGTGTAACTTTTTCATCTTTGACTTTTTAACAAATTGGACAGCAAATTCCGTTTTCCCGAACTGTTTTACGTTAAAAAGGTACTCT